AAGCCAGACAGAATCACCATCTTCGTAAGTCAGAATGTAGGCAGTTTCATTTGGTTCAGTGTAGTACATGTCTGCTAGGTGGGACCATTCTACACATGCTGTTGTAGTCATGCTGGTTTATATTTCAGTCTTGGAACTTGTTGTATATCCCTGTGTATAGAGATCTGTCTTGCTCGTTTTCATGGATATACAGTATGTACTTTATTGAATCCATCAGTTTGTATCAGTATATAGTTTACATATAGAGTCCACCAAAAAATGTATACATAGTTCAGGAAAAGAAACATTTGTAAAAATATTTTAATGCTAAATTTATTGAGACATCATGAGATTAATACAGGTTACCTTTGGCCTCTTCAATTACAAGAGGAGTTCAGAGTGGTGGCGATGAGCTTCCAGACATATATTAGTACTGTGAACTGCTGCTTGGGTAGCCTTGGTCATTGAAATTGCTACACATGTGTTTTCAACTCCTTCTCTAAGGGCCAGCAGTGTCATGGGTTTTCTGTCATATATGACATCCTCTAGGATTCCCCATGTGAGGGTAACACCATCTGTTGAAAAACATCATACTACTTTTCTTTTCCTGATGTGTGTATACATTTTCTTGGTGACTCTGTACACATAGTTTGTGTTAGTATATAGCTTATATACAGTTGGAGATTTATTTTATTAGGGTATGGATAAACAGTTTTAAAAAGTTAGATACAGCTCCCTAGTGATAAATTTCTTACTTATGTTCTATATTTAGGTACAAATACATCTGTAGGATAAGTTTCCTAATAAAACTCCTTTTCTTAGTTGGATGAAAGAGCATATAAAAATTTTTAAGTCCAGACACTAATTTTTTATTTAAAATGTATATACTTATTCAGTTTATGGTTATTAGTCACTGTATTTTTCACAGTGACCAGAATCCTGCTCTTTTAGTTTAGTGGTAAGATTAAGAAAGTTGGGGAGTATTTTTTTATTATTGTTGTTGATCTGGTCAGACCCTAAAAATAATGATTTATAATGGGGAGAAAATAACCCTAAAGTGGCTTTCAGGATTCTTAGAATTTGCATATTGTGATCTGAGAACTTCAGTAAGTAGCATCTGCTTCCCTATCTGAGGCCAGAGTCATTTGCGAGATGGATGCAGATGGCAGGCTCCTGGTGATAGATACCCTGTACAGGCATCGTGGCTCCTTCCTGATGCACCACAGTCATAGAAGGACCTGGGCAGTGAGGGCCGATGAGCTTTAACCCTAGAAGAAAAGGAATTGGTGTTCTGTTGGTGTTTGAGATCCAAGAGCGTGCAAAACAGGCTAAGCCATCTATGTCTGCCCCCTACAGATAAGTCACTGCCTGTTTGGGAAAGTTAGTGGTGGGAGAGACAAGTGTGCTCCGCATAATTACCAAAACCACATGGAAAGTGGAAGGGGGGGATAGACATTCTTTCCTCACATGTTTAGGCAAGATGATGCGGGTGGCCTACGTATAAGGAGGGAGAGAGGTCAGGGTCTACCAGGCATGTTTAACTGCAGCCTGCAGGTCACTTGCCCTCATGAACTATATGTTTTGTGCGTGGCCCATGACAATTCCCCTTCACTCAGTGTGACCTAGGCAAACCTAAAGGCTAATCAGAACCTACACGGGTTACATTAAGGACATTGGGCCTTTAGAGCATTTGAGAAGACAGCAGAGGATTTTAAGCCGATTTTGATTCTGTTTGTGATGAGAATGGAGTTGAAGAGGCTGCAGCATGGAAGTTGCTGGGAGGCAGTTGTAAGAGTCTAGGCCAGAGATGACATGACGGTGGTATGAAGCAGGCTGATGGGAATGGAAATGGACATATGGAAGACTGAAGATATTTTAGCAGTAAAGTTGACAGGCATTGCCCATGATTCGCTATTGGGATGTGAGGGAGAAGGCAGTGACTAGAACTGGTCTGAGGTTTTCTGGCTGAAGCAGCTTCATGGATTCTGGGCCCATCGCTGACACCAGGAGCACTGGAAGAAGCATAAATTCGTAGGAGAAGGAGCTTGACTTCACTGTTGTGCATACTGAAGCGCCTGTGAAACACCTGCCTTGGAGTACTGTGGTAAGCAGGGAGTCCTGTGGGCCTGGCACTCACAAGGGTAGATGTGCTTAGGGCCGCTGGCAGACATAGTTTGAAGTTGTAGATGTGACTTAGATTGCTCAGGAAAGTGGGTCCCAACCTAGACCACATACTGGAGTCGCTTGAAGAAAGACCACCCGCCAAGGAGACTTCTAGAGGCTCCTCTGGTAATAGTGATATACAAGCAAGAGCGAGGCGTGCTAGCCTGGAGAGTGTGGGCTGAGATAGAAGAGGAGCTAGGATCAAGTGTTGGAGTACACTGAGTTAACAGCTGTCTGAGAAGAGCCAGCCTGCCCGGGAGACTTAAGAGGTGACCTGGGAGGGAAGCCGCGAAGTCAGTGCGGTGTCGTGAGAGAGAAGCTGGTGCTAGTGGGGTAAGGGTTAGCACCGTGGATGTTGGTCAGGAGAGCTGTTGCTGAGAGCCTGGGGACAGAAGGCAGTTGGAGTGCGCTGGGTGGTGTGAGACATCTAGCATAGGAAAGCACTTCATGTGGTCAGGGAGGACATGTGGAGCCTGAGGCATGCCTTGGGTTAGGCTGTTTTGGGATTTAGGTACAGATTCAGCAGGTTAAATGGTGATGAGAACTTGACTCACTTCAAGAGTTCCAGAAGAAGGTGGCTCTAGAATTACATGTTCAGTGGCTCATCAAAGTCATGAGAGATCTAAGTTTTTCGAGCCAGAGTGTGACTTGGTCAGCAGGTGCCCCTCAGGGAGGCAGCCGTGGTTCAGTCCTCAACCCAGATATTACACCCTTTTCTTAAAACCTTTTCAAAGGATCCTAAAATGCATACAAAAAAGTAAGCGAAACATAAAGCATATCGGTTAGATTTTCAGAAGTCAGACAGCTGAACCCCAGTACTCACATCGTAGCCCAGGGCCAAGCAGTGCCCTTTGTTCCTCCTGCCAGTTCCTACCTATTTCCTCCCCCAGGACAACTGCTAGCCCAGCTCCCCTAGCTCAGTTTTGCCTGGTTTTTGCAATATAAATGAACTAATAAGCTCTGTGCTCTGCTGTGTTTGGCTTTCAGCGTTATTTTTAGATCCGTGTCATTGCATGCAGTTGTAGTGTTCTTCTGTTGCATGAATATACCACACTTTATCCATTCTCTTTTTGATGGCCACTTTGGCAGTGTCTAGGATCTGGCTTTTACAGAAAAGTGTAAATGTACATATCCATTTCTGTTGAGTATAATCGAGGAATGGAGTTGTTCGGGCAGGGTATGCTTGTTATGTTCAGCATTAGTGCATTCTTTTCCCATGTGGTTGTGTCCTTTCGTGAGCTTACTAGCAGCATATCAGCTGCAGCTCCACGTCATCAGCACTTGCTGCTTTGCGTCTTTTATTTGGACATCCTGGCGGATGTGTAGCAGTATAGCGCTGCGATTTAAGTTTGTATTTCTATAATTTGATTAAAGATACTTAAATTGACTTTTTCATTTGCTTATCGGCTTACTTGAATATTCTCTTGTGATGGGCCTGGTTGGTCTTTTGCTTCTTTTTCCCTCCTGAGTTGAATGTCTATTTATTTGTAGGAGCTTTTTTGTTTGCTTTGAGTTCTAGAGGTGAGGTGTTAGACATGTGTGTGCATATCTTCTCACACTCAGTGGCTGGCTTTTTCATTCTTGTTTTCTGTTCACCAAAATGTTGCTAATTTCAATATAATGCAATATTACCAATTTTTTCTTTCATGGTAAGCACTGTTTGTATTCTGTTCTTGACCCTTGCTTACACTAAGGCCACCAGAATTGGTTTTTGTATTTAGTGTGAGGTAGGGTTCCATATACCTAGGAATATTTGTGTGGCCCAGCATTGTTTATTAAGAGAGTGTATTTTTTTGTTTCTCTATCCTTTTCCATTGGTCAAGTAGTCCCTGAAGCCTTTTCGTAGGTACTGATATCTGGTGTGTTAAGTTACCTACTTTTGTTCTTACTAATTAGCTCTTTTTAAGAGTGATGAATTTATATTTGTGTGACTGTGACATGAAGAACCATTTAAACTAGGAAGTTAAAAAACAGGAGTAAACCAGTGAGTGAAGCAGAAATAGTTGAATGAATAAGATGGAATAAGTGAAGTAACAGGAAAGAGCTGAATGCCTGCGTGAGAGGTTGAAGAGTTGGGGCAGTTTGGAGTGGTGCTAGGTTCTGGCAGAAATGTGGCAGTAGAGGGGTGGGTCAGGGTGTAGGAGGAAGTCATTGGCGAGCAGGAAACCAGGAAACTGAGCAACTAAGGTGTGGATCTGCTGGTACTTGACAGTTTACAAAATACGCTTCCTAACACTGTCTAATTTAGGGTCTACTGCAAGACAAGTAGAACAGAATTGGTTTCCTCATTTTACAAGGGACCGGATGAGCCCAGAGAGATTAATGGCTTCCTGAGGACCCCAGGAAAACTGGTGGAGTTGGATTTGCACAGGCCACATCCCAGTATCCATGCTTTGTTCAGTGGGGCTTAGCAGATGCATCAGAAATCCAGGTGTTTCTGGAGATCAGAAGTCAGGTTAAAAGGCGAAACTAGTACAGACAAATGTTGAAAGACTGAAGTAATGACCAGATAAGCTGTCGATAAGGTACAGGCAGGAAATCCCTGAGAAATACTGGAAGTCCTAATTCCTGTGGTAGTGACTCGGGGTTACTTTTTCCCTTTCCCTTTTCTGTATTTTCCAAGTTTCCTGTAATGGATGTACATTACATGGATCTTTCAAAATTAAATTACTTTTTGACTGTGTCACACATATCTAGTACCTCACATCTAGAACTCAAAGCAAACAAAAAAGCTCCTACAAATAAATAGACATGATATATGTGGGAAATTCAGAATGTGCAAATAGCAATAAAATAATGCAGTACTTCTACAATGAATAAAAATGTTTAAGTATTTTACTTCTTGCTTTTCTTTTTAGAAATGCACTTGGTGATGGAAAGAGAGCCACTATTCTGAAGTGCTCCTGGCCAAAGGTAGGTTTCTTTTGTACAGTATTTTACACCAAGCAGATTAACATCACACAACTTTGTGAAGTTCAGTTTACAGGATGCGTATTTGTACATTAAAATGCTGGATGAAATTGTTCAAAGCTTAAGAATTGGAAAGGGGTCCAATCTTTGAGGTCCACTGTTAGTACAAGGACTCAGCCACAGCTGGGAGCGGGGAGGGGTGGGCTTGCAGCCTTTGTATGCAGAGAGCCTGCAGGAAGGTTTGCCAGGCTGCAGGGTCCCTTAGCAACTGAGAGGTAGTGTCTACACAGTACGTTTAATGGTCCTAAAAGGGAGAAGTGAACTTAAGATCTTAGAGGGGGAGAAAAAAGATCTTAGAGGGAACTGTAGAGTATCTGTATAACCTTGAAGCAGAAAAGGATTTTTTTTTTCTGGGTGATTGAATGTAGGGCCTCTGGCCTGTGAGCTTGAGCTCTACCCCTGGGTACTCCCCTAGCCACAAGGCTTTTTACATGAGACTCAATACACAAATCTACAGTGGGAAAAAAGTCTACCTCGATGTAATTGATAATCAAACCTAAAGCTTCTGTATGTCAGAAGACATGAATGAAACAGGAGACTAGGGGAGACCATTTGTCACAGATAACATACATAACTGGTAGGGTTTAGCTCCAGCATGTGCGGAGAACCTCTAAAATAGAGAAGCCCAGTAGAAGATGAATCAAGACACCAAATAGGCATTTCAGAGAAGAGTAATCTGAATGCCCATAGAAACAAGAAACTATGTTCTAATTCCCAGTAAGTTGAAATGAGAGGGGATTGGTACAAAGAAAAATGACCTTAGAGGAGAACAGAGGGCCTCCAGATACCCACCTGTGCGTGAGTGAATAAAACACTGTGGTGCTGTTTGTGCTGTTCACACGAGCAGAAGGCGAGAGCCCAGGGGTCCTGTGTGTGAGTGCTGCGTGTATAGAGACAGGGACCTCCAGTCCACTGCTGGGCTGTGGAGTGCTCACAGCCAGCTTGGAGAGCACCGTGAGGTGCATACCTGTGACTCACGCATGCACCCTGGAGAAGCACTCAAGTCTATGTGCATACCGCAGCAGTGACTCCATTTCACACCTATGTGGTACCGTGGAATGTTTGCATATGTACATATGGTGCAGTGTACTCGGTGGGTCACTGTAGCATTCTTTCAGTTGCATAGAAACTCAGATGCCTAAACGTCCGCAGATATAGTGCTGACGGTATTTTCACGTGACCTGTCTGGCCTGCCCCTCTGCCCAGCACCTTTCGTTCTTCCATCCTCACTCTTCTGCTCTCTGTGTCAGTACTGCATCCCTGGTGTCCCCGCTGCTCCTAGGCCTGCTGCTGTTTGTGCTTGCTCTTCCTCTCCCTCCAATGTGTTCACCTGCACTCTTTCCTTCTGTGTTTTCCTTTCCCCTCTTGCTTTGTGGGTGGTGGTGCTGGTGTGTGCGTGTGAGAGAGAGAGAGAGAAACAGACAGATAGTTCAGAGCCCATTAGACTGGCCTTGAACTCACTATATAGCCCAGGTGAACGCATCGTGAAGATTACAAGAGTGCACCACCACACCCATTGCTTTCACTTCTTTACTGAACAGCCTCATCTTGGCGAAGCCTTCCCTTGACGGCATGATTAAAGTGCCAGACCTGCCCCTCCTAGACATTTTCTATCCTTTCTCCTGGATTTTTTTTCTTAGAATTTAGCATATTATTAAACATACTCTACGTACTATTTATGTTGTGTTGGTTGTGTCTGCCAGTGGAATGGGTGCTGGACAAGGAAAGGTTTCTTGGTCTGTTGGTTCACTCTTGAGTCTGAGCTGTCTAACCAGCTACCTGGCTCATAGCAGACACTCAGGAGTAAAATTTGTCGACTTTGTGAGTGAATAATCAGATACTAGGTGGCAGTTGATATTAGCTAACATTTATTAATTTTCAAAATAGTATTAAAGAAAAAAACCAGTAGAAGTATAGAGTAGCTGTCCTAGCAGTGCTTGCTCCTGGGCTAGCGAAGGAGATTGGAGAGTCCGGGGACGCACCCATCCTGTGTGGTGTTCTTTCTTTTACTAACACCTGCGTGGTGTTCTTTTCTGAAGAAAATGTAACAAATTTCAGAGCATAATTCTGGGTGTTCTGTAAGTCCGTAAATACCTGTATTTTCCCTGATCATAAAGTCAGGCACATCTTTTGAAAAGTGGAGCTTCAGTTAAGGCACCAAAAGACATGTATTTCATACTTACTTCTGGTTTTGTTTTTGTTTTTCTGAACCAAAATGAGCAGACTTACAGCCTTTTAGGCCCTTAGAGAATTTTATCTCATTCATTACATCTCTGCTGATAGATTTCATTGGACTAATTATAGGATTTAGTTTTATTTTGTTCAAATTTTTGAAAACTGACCTTTTCCTTTCACAGTAGCACATGATTAAGAAGAGAAAGTACAAAAGGGCATAAAGTAAAAGGGGGAAGTCAGCCTGGGCCCCTTTTATAAGACAGGTTTCTTTTTCTTTCCCCCTAAAATTGTGATTCAGGTGGCCCGGGAGTATATTTAGTAGTCTAGAGATTATAACATTCCTCAGGGGGGCTATCTGCATCCAATTTTAGAACCATTTTTAAAATGCCTCATTTTATACATGAAGAAATTGAGTCCCGGAAAGATAAAGTGATTTTGCAAGGTGTCACTGCAAGTGAAAACTCAGGTGAGAACCAGCACTGGATGGTACCTGTGTTTGAGGATGCTCAGTTTGTTACTGTTTTCATCTTGGGTCATCCTTTGCTTGAAATAAAATTGCCTGGCATTTAAAAGATATTCTACACATAATTGTACAGTCAGTGCATGCTAGAATTCTGAATCCCAAAATCCTGGCTAGGATATTGGTTTTCCAGAGATACTCTTGCAAATTTTAATCTTTCATCAAGTTTTAGCAAGAGTTAAAATAAAATAAAATAAAATAAAATAAAATAAAATAAAATAAAATGGTAAAAAGAATAGGCTGGGTATGGTGCGCATACCTGTAATCCCAGCACTGGGGATGTTGAACAGGAGGATCCCCTCGAGTTCAAGGCCAGCCTGAGTTACATAGTGAGTTCAAACCTAGCCTGAACTACGAAGTGAAACTCTGTCTCCAAAAAAGGAGTAAGGGGTTTAAAATTTTCTGAATTATTCTGACAGCTTTTGGAGAACATTTACTGCTGACTTAGTTTGTCAAACACAAAATATTCACTCCTTTCCCTTAATTAGGATGTTTCATGATGTCATGATTGCAGAACTATTTTTGTAGATCCAAATGTACAGCTATTGTTAAACATTCAAAAATTCAATAACTATGTAACTAGTCTTTTTATTTTATCAGATAAGAAAGCTCCTTGAAGAATAGTTTAAACTCCAAAAGCATAGGAGACTGGGCAAGGTGTTTTCTTTACTTTTGTAAGAATTTTTTCTTTACAATTAGATGTGAACCTGAGTGTGCATAGGTAGATACTTTCGAGTCCTCCGTATGAAGCCAGCTCACTTTGGTTTCCTTATTTCTAGATAGAGAAGACTAGTACATTGGCATCTCTCTTCAGATATACTTTCAGGCTTTAGAGAAGATGAGTCATTGTATATTTTTTGTTTGTTTTTGCTTTTTTGGAGACAGGGTCTCCCTATGTAGTTTAGGGTGGGTTTGAAGTCACTTTGTAGCGTAGGTTGGCCTTGAAATCTCAGTAGTCGCCCTGCTTTAGCCTCCTGAGTGTTGGGATTATAGGCGTATGCCTTTGTGTCTTAACGAGTGAGAATTTTTATGATATAGTCAACAGATTCTTGTTTATGTTTTTGTGTGCATTGTCTATTGATACATATTTATAGGATACAAAACAGTAGCCTCACAAAAGTCCTCAAGAAACTTAATTTTGAAGGGTGTATTGGGACTTTTCCTTGTGAATGACAGAAACTTGAATTAGATTTTGTTTACATAATCAAGGGAATTTATTGGCTAATGTAACTGAAAAGTGTAGGGATTTGTTTCAGACCTGGCTGGAACTGGAGCTGCATCTTCCTTCCTATTTCTCTGGGTGCTATACTTCCCTGTTCGTAAGTTTCATGTTAGGAGTTTTCCCTCAGTTTTCTGCCGGCTTTTTCCTTAGGTCTGTTGCTGTGTCCTCCAGTTCACTGATATTTACTTCAACAGTGTCTAGTCTTTCTTTCCATCCGGTATATTTTTTATCGTAAATCCTATGTGATTTTCATCTCTACAAATTAACTTTGGGTCTTACACATTTCATGTCTTCACTCAGTATTTATGTTCAGTCTTTTCTAAAGCTTTTTGAACATGTGAAATATCATTAAAATAACTTTTAATTTCTTTGTTTATTGATTCTCTCATCTGTTCATTTGTGGGTTGTTTTCAGTTGATTGACTTCCCCCTCCTCCTTATAGGTTACATTTTCCTTCTTTGTTTATGTGGTCATTTTTAATTGGATTCTAAACATTGTGAATGTTACCTTGTTTGTTGTTGGTTATCTTTGTTTTTCTGTAAATTTTTTTTCTCTTCTTATTTTGAGACAGGCTCTCACTATGTAGTTCAGGCTCAGGTGATCTGCCTATCTCAGCCTCCCGAGTGCTGGGATTACAGGCTTGTGTCACCATGCCTGGCAGCCTGTAAATATTTATGAGCTTTGTTTTGCGACCCAGTAAAGTAAGGTAGAAGCAGTTTAAATCTTCAGAATTTTGTTTTAGCCTTTGCCTGGTGGGGCAGTAGTGGCGTTTAGTTGAAGGCTAAATTTTCCTCACTACTGAGGTAAAATTTTTGTGAGTACTCAACCTGACACTCCATGAATTAGGACATTTTCCAGTCTAGTTGCTAGGAAGAGCAGTTACACCTGGATCTGTATGAGTTCCAGCTGTTGTTTCCTGTTATTCTTTCAAGTGGTTCTGTCCCTGGCCTTAAGTATTTGCCCAGCACACATGTGCTGGTCAGAACTCAGCTGAAGAGCCCAGAGGACACTTAGGGGATATCTTTCTGAGCAGCTGTTCCCTCTTTGCCCTGTGCCTATGAACTCAAGCTGGCTTGGACCTTCTCCCTCCTGCCCCTGATCACTGGCTGAGGGAGACTGGCAGCCTCTGCCTGGCTCCTCTCTGTGCTGAGGCTTAGAAACGTCTCAGTGTTTTTCAGGTGTCAGGAAACAGGGCCTCTGCTCTCTCAGGAAAACTGGAGCTTAAGGAAATGCAATTTGAATTGAGATTTTGATCTAAGCCTAAACAGTCTGGATAAAGAGGCCCTTGAATGAATGCATAGATTCATACACAATGCACACTGAACCTGCATAAGCACAGCCCATGATCCTCTTAGTGAACGCTGATCTTTCCTGAAAGGGGCACTTAGTTTTAATTTTGTATCTTCTCCTAAATTATCATTGAATCGAGTGTATTGTAAAGTGTGAATGAGAAAAGAAGGAGACCTGGAGCAGGTGTCAGATCAGGTGCTATGGTTTGCCCTGGGTTCTAGCCTCTTTCACAGGAAATCATCTCTCTAGCAGAGACACTGTGCCTAAAACAAGAGTTTGGCTTGTGAGTAGCTAGGAGAGGGGTTAGCTGAGTTAGCTCCAGGTTTGATACTATTAGCTTTCTCCATTCAAAAGTTTGGGGTTTTTTTGTTGTTGTTGTTTTGAGATAAGTTCTTGCCATGTAGTTCAGGCTGGCCTTGAACTCACTATGTAGCCCAGGCTGGCCTCGAACTCACAGTGATCCTCCTGCCTCAGCCTCCCAAGTGCTGGGATTACAGACATGCACCACCGTGCCTGGTTCAAAAGTTTGTATTTAATATAAAGAATTTCCCAAATCTTGAGTCAGCAAGAGTTTTGGTTCTATAACAGAAAAACAAGGCAAGACAAAAACTGTTCATCTTTGGAATAGAGTAGAAGCAATGATTTTCAGGGTTTTTTTAAAGCCAGGAACTACATTTAGAGATAAAATGATAAAAACTGATCACAGGGTCAAGGGATAGCCTAACTGTGCCCCTTGTTTGTGCTCTTCAGAAGTACGGGGAATCTGCCACATGTGCTGCTTGTTCCTTCCAGCTCTGAAACCATTTTCATTTCCTAAGTGCAGGCCAGTAACTGCGAACCTATGGCACACGTGCCACAGCAGGCTCTCTGTATCATTGAAAGCTCTGAAAGGTTCGCCATCACTGCTGTAGGGTATATTGTAACTTAGAGACTATTATTGTGTATTTTGAAATATTAAGTAATTTATGTACAGTGAATAATTTTTATATTTTATTTGGCACAAAATTGTATCTTAAGTAGTTTATTTTCAAGCAAAATAGTTTTCCTTATCTGTTTTCTTTAACTTAAGCATGCTTTTGAAGAAAAAATTAAATTTATCTTTTTGGAATAGGGTCATTATCATTATTGTACTGCTCTTTCTCTGCTGGGAGAATATGACTGGGCCCTGCAAGCAAACGTAAAGGCTCAAAAACTCTGTAAAAATGACCGTGAGGGAATCAAGGATCTAATTCAGCAGCATGTAAAGTTACAAAAACAAATAGAAGACCTGCAAGGTATTTCGCCTAAGATTCTTTTGGGTACGGTTGAATTCCCTTGAGCAGTGCAGAAGGTGGGTTTCTTCAGTTAATGAGGACCACGCATCAGTCCTCAGATGGTTTGTGCTTGGTTCTGTTACCTTGGTCCCGTCACTGAAATTTTCATTTCTATCTGTGTAGAATTACCTTATGACTGTCTTCCCTTAGGTAATTATAAATGACTTGTAGTATTTATTTGAAACAGATAGCAACCAGTTTATCATTTATTGTTCTGTAGAAGAATACTCTTTCCAGAAACTTTGAATAAAAGGTTTTTGAAAGAAAATTGTTTTAATTTTTCTCATGATTAATTTCTAAAGAAAAGGCTTTTAAGGAGAGTGGCTTGACGATGGCGCACCGACTTTCGCTAATGCTGTGGTATAGTGAACGGCTGTGTTCACACAGAGAGCACAAATTGACTTCAGTCATAGAGCTTCATTCTACCCTTCTTTTTTCCTGTTCTTAGTCATTTTTGTTTCAAAAATCTCAAGTCCTTGAGATTTCTTTACTCAAGACTTTCAGAGCCTGGGTCTTTCCTGCTCTTTGCTCCCCTGAGTGTGTAGTGTCTGTGGGGCTGAGCTGAGTGTTCAGTCCCACTAGCAGTGTTACCCTGCACAACCTGGTTCTAAGGCTCTGAGCTCCTCCAGGGCAGGTAGCACCTTTTACTCAAGGGATGCATTGCTCTCATCTCGTAGTGCTCACATGCGAGGGGATGTCAGGCATGTGTAGAATTGTAAAATTAGGTTTATTTTTCTTTCTAAATTTGATATTCTTAACTGTCAGCTTGAGGGAAATTTAAGAACTTTGAAGTCTGTATTGCTGATCCACTGATTCGTGTGTGTGTATCATTGACTTTTGTAGGTCGAACACCAAATAAGAATCCGATTAAAGCTTTTTATGAAAGCAGGTGAGTTACTCTCAGGTCAGTAGCCACTACTTGGAATGCCTTTGCCCTCTAAATTTAAAAACCACTTGTTTGTCACTTGAAGAGCTAGTGGCAACTGCGGTACGGTGGAGGACAGGATTTTGTGTGTTGGAGATCAGGTGACCTGTGCCTGTCGGGTTGGCAGCAGTCTCTGATGTCTGATGCCTAGCTATGGAGAGGAGTAGCCTGAGCCTGTGGGAGAGGAGCTGTTGCTGGGCTGAAGCCTGTGCTCAGTGCTCAGTGCCTAGTGCCTAGTGCCTGTGTTAGTGAGGTCGTTGTGGCCTGGCAGTGCTGGCAGAGGAGCTGTGCCTTGCGCCTACTGCTGCCGTAGATGTTGACCCAGACTCCCAGTGTCTTTCAGAGGCTACAGGCATGCTTCGTGATGCTTTTAAGAAAACAAGTAGCAGCCAGCGTTCCTCACTGGCTTGTTTGGCAGTTAAAACAGATGAAGCTTTGTTCCCACACTCATTTAGATGTACAGGATACTAGAACTGTTACATGTAAAAGAAGACTTACTTTAATGCTAAAACCCAGAACAGTTACCTTGAACTATTCTTAATGTATTTTGAATTTGACACCAATTTAAAACACCATTTATGTAGAAAGTCTCATGGAAGAGAATCTTTTCAAAACATTGATCTCTTCTTTACAAGGTAAAAAGTGTATGATTCCTGCAAATTGGTTTTTTTTTGTTTTTCTGAGACAGTGTCTTGGTATGTAGCCCAGGCTGACCTGGAACTCACAGCGATCCTGCTGCCTCAGCCTCCTGAGTGCTGGGATCACAGGCGTGTGACACCACACCAGCCTGCAACCTGTTAATTTGCAGGATAATCTGTTAAAATACTTGCTATTAGAAATAAAACGATTGGGGCTGGGGATTTAGCTCAGCGGCAAAGCGCCTGCCTGGCAAGCGCAAGGTCGTGAGTTCGGTTCCTGGTACCGGAGAAAAACCAAAAAAAAAAAAAAAAAAGAAATAAAACGATCATTTCTTTTTCCCCCTCAGGGCCCATGTGACTAGGAATTCACCAGCCCCTGCTTTCAGTACATCACTCAGCTTTGTGGAGAAGGGAAGAGAGTGCAGAAAAGATAACCAGGAAATGGCGTACGGTGGCAGAGAATACATAAGGGTAAGCACCAGTAAAAGTGAACACCATTTCAAGTACAAGTAGTCTTGTATTTTTACAGGGTTGTTTTTGGTTGGTGGTGGTGTTGTGGTTCTTTGAGACAGGATCTTGTTATATAGTGCAGGCTGGCCTTGAACTCACAGTGATCCTCCTGCCTCAGCCTCCCAAGTACTGGGATCACAAGTATGTGCCACCATAGCCAGCGACATTTACATGTTTTGAAAATACTTGTCCTTAATATAATTTTACCACTTAGTTCGTATGCCCTCTATTTACATTTCCCAAGCAGCCTCTGGAGGATGAGTGCCAAGTTACCCCTGCCTCTCACGATGCTTTCGATGGTTTTTTCCTCCCTTTTCCTTTTGCACTCAGTTTGGCTGCCTGTCAGGGCACTCGTCCAGCACTGCTGGTTTGGTGTGGCCCGCCTCTGCCCTGGGTATTCCTGCAGCTTCTCTTGCTGTGGGCAGCACTGGCTCAGCCCTGGATTCATGGCTGTGCCTAGCACCAGTCCTGGTCAGACGTTTTCTTGGTGTCGCTGGACCTCTAGTCTTGTAATCGGCGTCCCATAGAAGTATGTCTGAGTTCCCCCCTGACCTGTGGTATGCTCAGAGCTCAGCAGCTGTCACCAAGTCCACATTTGTATTTCTCTTCCAGATTTGAGAAAAGAAAAAGAAAGTGGTGTTTTGGCATTGGGTGGGTGACAGGCATTGAAAGATACGTTATTTTTTTAATAGACTGCATAGTCCTTTTCTGTATAGTATTGACGGTCTCCAGTGGGTGGCATTCAGTTAGGGAGAGAGCACAGGAAAGATAGATTATATTCATTCAGTGCAGACACTGTTGAACCACTGCCGTGTCAGGCACCCTGCTAAGCATCAGAAATAGAATTACCATTCAAGAATTTATTTATCTTGATTTCTTCTCATTAGTTATCATTTTGTTAGCTTGCCTATGCTTAATGACCACCTTATACATTTTAAATGCCTGAGTGCATCTATCGTACTCTATTCTAAATTCTGTTCTGTTATAAAGCTGTTGAATTCTTCCTGCCAGTATAGTTTTTAAAGGTCTCACTAGTTTTATTTTCATGAGCAGGAAATCGATGAGGCTTTAAGATTCGATGATTGTGACTGCGAGACTGAATATATACAATCACCACGTGAGTATTTTTCTTACACAAATGTTGCTGAGTTAATGTAGTGTTGTCTCAAGTGTTGTGCCCTAACATTTGCACAGGCCTCACTTTTATTTGCTCTTGCTCTGCTTTTACTTTGTGATGCTGTGTTAGTGAGCTTTCTGCCAGAATAATGAAGTACTGAACCAAGCTAGTTATAGTGAGTGTGTTAGGTGCCAGTGGCCAGGAGTGTGGGTTGCACACATCTCAAGCCAGGAAGCAGAGATAGACAGACACAAGGCCAGGGTCCCACAGTCCTCTTCAAGAGTTTGCCTCCTCCAGTGACCTGAACTCCTTCTAGACCCCGCTTCCTAGAAGGTTCCATAGCACCCACTGTACTGCCAGCCTGGGCCCAAACCTTTCTTTCCACCGGTGCTTTTGGGGACCCTCAGCCAAACCATCGCAACTTCTGTGTTAAGAAAACTGAATTTGTCTGTGAAGTCAATGTTCAGTTTTTTCGTATTATGTAATTTTGGAAGTCCGAAAGGGGAGTGGAAAGGAGAAATGAAGTATACAGCTGTCTTGGTCTGCTCCTTAATTTCCTTTAGGTCATTGTTGCTCATGATTGAAAGTTCTCATTATTTTCTTCTCTCCCCACAAAGGGCCTTTGTGGACATTTTCTGTAGTTATCACTCTGCTGTGAAGTTTTAGTACCACAGTTGCTGCCTGTTTTGTGTACCATGTGAGCGTCTGTGCAATAAAGACATTTTTTATCTTTCAACTGATTTTTTACTCTATTGGGCTGGTGTTACCCCTGTTCAAGATGAATGCTTGTCTTAGTCCCTTTGGGCTGCTGTAACAGAAATACCATAAACTAGATTGCTTATAAACAACACAGGGTTTTTCTGCATTTCCGTAGGCTGGTAGTCCAGTAGCACGAACAGTCCATACACACCCGCAAGTGTGCTTTTTTGATCTCTTTTGCATCTCAAGCCATTCACATTGACAGTCAAGCTTAACCATCATACACACAAGACAGCTGGATCCCATTACATAACAACGTGGGAGGTGAGAGGTTCCACAGGAAAAAGTACCCTTCTTCCCTTTTTTTTTTTTCTTTTCCGTGTTTTGAGACAGAGTCTCTCTCTGTAGTTCAGACTGGCCTTGAACTTACCATGACCCTCCTGCCTTAGCCTCCTGAGTGTTGGGATTGCAGGCATGTGCCACCACACTCGGCCTCCTTTCGCCTATTTTGGAACCTTTTATAACATTTTGATGTGAATCTTTCTGAATCTTTTTGATGTGAATCAATCTTTCAGTGAATCAGTCTTCTGAAAAAAGGCATGAAGATTACATGCTCTTTTTTTTTCTTTCTTTTTTTTTGGGAATCAAACTCAGGACCTTGCACTTGCCAGACAGGCACTGTGGGTTTAGCTATATCCCTGGCCATATGCTCTGCTTTTTAAAACAGTTTTTCTTTTAGTATTCATTTCAGGGTTGTTGAGGTAAGATTGCTGGCTTTCCCTGGTGACATCCTAGTGCTCTCTTTTCTCGGGTTAGTTGGTTTGTTTTCTTTTCGTTGGTTCTACTTCTAGCATCCATCGCTGTCTTGTTCTCCCTGCAGTTCCCTCTTCTCTCAGCTCTGATCCCACACAGCCAGCCACTTGCTGGGCCGCTCCATGTAGTGTTAGCGGACTCATGAGAGCAGGAGGCGCGGCAGTTGTGTTGCCTGGTTAGAGGAATTCTTAGAGGATAAAACTGTTTCTTTGAAAGGCGGCTTTTTAACTTATTAATATGTCTTAGGCCATTATTAACAGACAGCACATTTAAATAAATAAATGCTGCCCCTCTCTCACTGTCTATATTCAGGTAATGAACTTGAGGTCCCAGAGTTAAGGTTAAGTCCTTTTCCCTAAGGCCACACAGCAGAAACCAAGCTAGAAGTCTGCTGCCTTTCCCAAGCCTTTGCCTTCTGAAGCCACCAAAGCCTGCTTGGGTTCTCCCCACCGACCGTGACAGTCTCTGTGCTGTCTCCCCACACCTTCCACTGCATACGCTCTGCCACTCGCCCTCCCACACCGCCTGAGCATGTCAATCCCCTACTCACAAGTTGGCAGTCCGTAGGAAAGGGGTCCGTAAACAGTCCCTGCACCTTGCCTTTGCAGCTGTTGTCACCTTCCGCCCTGTGTAGCCCTTCCGATTATACAAGTGACTCACTATTTCCAGCCATTCTAGAGACCCTAAGCGAGCTCTTAGGTTCTTACAACTCTTGGATTGGAGCATTCTGTTTGTGTTCTACCTACTCCTCAAAACTAAATACAAATACTAAATCCTCACTGGTACTTTTCCCAGCTGCTCCCTGCAAGTGATTTCTGCCTTTTGTGAGTTAGAAGAGAAATGACTAACTATGGAATTCATATGCTGGTAATGATACATTACCCTCCTTTCTTCATAATGGTGGTTGTGGTTTAATTACTGGAGTGGTTGATCCTTTCTTGGCGTAAGATGATAAACTGCCTGAGAATACGAGCTGTTGCCTGTATCTCTCTGAGTCTGCTATATGCCTCAATACTTTTACCATTAGAATTTATCCTTTCTTTTGTTTTTTGGCTTTTTTGAGACAGTCTCCCTTTGTAGTTCAGGCTGGCCTTGCACTTACTAAGCCCAGGCTGGCCTTGAACTCACAGTGATCCTCCTGCCTCAGTTTTCCAAGGCTGGGATTACAGGTGTGTGACCCCAGGCCTGGCATATAGTTTATAATAATTCTGTAACACACACAAAATAGCCATCATCACTATCTTCTTTTTTGGCTTACCTGTTTCTGGTTGTACTTAACAGCGTTCCTTCTTTGGCTTTCTTATTTCCATATGCTTGTATTTTTGTTTTACTCTCAGGTTTATAGATTATTATGCACATATTTCAGGAACAAATACTTTATATTAACAGGTCATCCTCCAAGACATAGAGGAAGACGTAAATCCCGAAACCATGGGTCGCAGAATGCCAAGTATGTTTTTTCTCTAGTTTTATAGGAATTTTAATTGAGAGTAGATTGGATTTAATTTGGGGGAAATCAGTAAGTTGGTATTTCTGTTCAGGAAATTGTGTGACTTTCCATTTACTTAATATTTTAAGTGACCTTCAGTGCATGTATTTTTTTCCTTAGGACTTTTTAAAAAATTTATTTAAAAACAAACACTTTTCTCTCTTAGTTCTAATTCAGAATTGGCAATTGATTGGAAAAAGCTGTTGGAGAGAGAGTTTTCTAAATCTTCCAGAGCTGCTCAGCAGGTAACAGAAAAAAGCTTTCCCAGTGGAAAAAGAAAATTCTTTGAACAAGATATTTTTTACATAAACTTCTAGTCATGGTTTAAGCAACCAAACTGTCATAAATTTAAATATTAACTTGATAATGGTTAGCCAAAGTTTTAAAAGATGAATGATAGGTACCCTAGAATTGTTTCCCAAAGATTTAAGAGTAATACTAACTTTAAATATTTTTTTAAAGATTTAAATGTGCAGATTCATTATATCTACTCTAAAATCATTAAAGAATAAACTTATTTTTTGAATGATTTAACATAATCAGATAAATAAAATACCTCATCTATAAATATTTAAATGTTAATCTATGATGAAAATGTATATTAACATGGAAACACAGGTACTTGTTTTAAAATATATGCCATTTAAAAATTCAGTTACTTTAGATCTCTTACAAATGATTGAACCAAATTTCTGTAATTATTTGCTTAAAAGCATTTTTAGAATATGTAGTAGTTGGATATAATTGAATTATATGTTGTTACATTGATTTTACTGACTATAAAAACATGAAGGCCTTAGAATAGAAAAGATACCCTGTGGCGATAAAAGATTATTTAAATATTTATGACAGTTGTTTTTGTACCACCATCTGTTCATTCTACACATTTTTATGGGGCCTTCCCATATGCTGAGAACAGAGAGGCTGGGTCTGTGGGGTGTGATTCAGCCTCCAGTACAGTTGATCGTTGAGGATCAGTCTTGCATTGAGGGAAATAATTGGCCAGTGAAAACATGAGGCTGTGTGGGTCTGTTGTCTAGAATGAGAAGGAGATTGATTACACTTGAATCAGTTCCTGAAAGGCTAATAATATTTGTGGGGTTAACATATCATCTTCTAAATTCATAGCTTAAATATGGCAATAGTTGTATGTTTTAAACACTGTAACAAATACAAGGGTTGAGGGAGAGGTGCTCTTTTCTGCGCCTGTTTAGGGGGAAGTTCTAACCTTTGGCTAGAAACCAGTAGGAAGCGTTTGTTACTATGTCACCAACTGCCTTCATTTTTCTAGATCTTTATTGTTAGGGTCAGTGAGGAATGTAATAGTCAGATCTGCATTTTCTGCTTCAGTGAATGGTGTACACACGCATGCATGGCAAAGAATAAGGCGATTGTAGCTCTGTGTTTAGGCTTGCTTCTCCAATCTTTATGTAACTCCGCGATTGCAGTGTAGCTAAAATCTGAACTCAAATTATAATGTTCGTGCACAAATGTATTCAAAGTACAAAATGTTTCTCACTTTATTGAAGGGTAAATTAGAAGAATTTAGGGATTATTTTCTTTTCTGTCTGCAGTGCTATGGTTTGTACTCAGGGCCTCATGCATGCTAGGCAGGCACTGTACAACTGAGCTGCATCCCAGCCTTTTTGAAATTTAACTTTAAGACAGGTTTTTGCTAAGTTGCCCACACTGGCCTTGAACTTGGAATGCTCTTGCCTTCACCTTCCAAGTGACTATATTTTTAAAATTTCTTATATTTTTCTTTTTGCATTTAACCTATGGATAGCTCTCCCAATAATTGCCGTCTGACTACCTTTAAATACATGGTAAGCATAGGGTAAAATGCAGAAACCTTTTTCCTATCCTAGGCAGTGGCAGATGTGTTGAGACGAAGAGGGTAAAATAGGGCTTTTTATTTTCATCTTAAGGTGCCATTTTGAAATAGGGATAGAATTGTAGTTAGGGTATTTATTTAAACACTGTCGCTTACAAAATACTACGAGTGAACCTCGCATCTTAAGTTCTAAAGTAAAAGCTATAGGTTTGGAGTACTGAAGTAGAGCTCTGTTTTGCAGGACTTTGCTAATGTTATGAAACTGCTGAGAAGCTTAATTCAAGATGGTTACACCGCGCTGTTGGACCATCGTTGCCGCAGTGCTGCACAGTCCTTTTCAGAACTGCTAAACGGCTTAGATCCCCAAAAAATAAAGGTAAAATAGCCAGATCGTAATTAGTTTACCCATGCTAATGCACTTCAGATGAATTTAGAAGCGAATCAGAGTTTTAACTCATATTAATACATGTTCTACCTTGCTGAGATTCGGTGGGTCTCCTCCACACTGGGGTAATCAGGTGATAGTTCCACTCCATATATAATTCAAGTTTATACTCACTCCTTGACCATCATTTGGGTTCATTACAACCTCCTGTCCTGTCTTTCATTAAAAGTACTAAAGCAAGTATTTAGACTCACAGTTAACTATATATTTTCATCAAGCAAGAAAGTATGTGCGTGGTGGCTCACGCCTGTAATCCCAGACTTGGGAGGCTGAGGCAGGAGGATCACTGCAAGTTCGAGACCAGCCTGGGCTACAAAGTGAGCTCAAGGCCAGCCTGAACTGCATAGCGAGACCGTCTCAAAAAAACAAAAAGACAAAGAAAAAGTATAAGCTAATGCTCAGGTACATGCACAAGAATATGGCCTTAATTAAAAATGGTTCTGGTCTATGATGAACTATGCCTTAAGGGACATTGATTCAGGACATGGATTCTGTGTTTTAAATACTTGATAGCTATATAACAGCTTATATTTACACAATATATTTTCTAGTCCTATTTGATCTTCAATGCAATCATATTGATTAGTGAGATGTTATCATATCTCCTTTTGCATAGTCAGATTTTTAACTAAAGCATTTTTATCAACAGCAATTGAACCTGGCTATGATCAACTATGTATTAGTAGTCTATGGACTTGCTATGTCTCTCCTTGGAATAGGACGACCTGAGGTAAGATTGGAAATAGAGATAATATACACTTAAAATGCGGCCATGTAGCTAATGTGTTATGTAGGCACAATCAGGGTAAATTTCAGAAACATAAAACTGAGGGAAAAGGACAGGTTGGAGAGCACAATCTTCGTGATCCTACTTATGCACAGGCTTATACTGCACAATCATATATTTTGTCTGTAGATACCTATGCATCTCGTAAAATTTTAAAATTATGGATTATTCTTAATCAAATTAAAATAATGGTTCCATTTAGTGGTGGAAGAGAGGAATGGGCCAGAGGAGGTTAGAAAGGAGAGTTCAGCTTTGTATGATGCAGTTTTATTAGAAAAGCAAAAGTAAAAGTGATCTTGTTAGGGCTGGGAATATAGCTCAGCAGCACAGTGCCTGCCTGGCAAGCACAAGGTCATGAGTTCAATTCCTGGTACCAAAAAAAAAGGGATCTTGTTAATATTTCTTAGTTCTAGGCTGTGAGTACATGACTATCTGATTGTTTCTCCATGGCAGGCTTCCCATGACTGCATGTAATTTGGGTGTAGTTGTGAGCTCTCGTGGTTTCCATAGCTCATACTGTCTGTGCTTTCCTGGTATGCTTACTAACCTGCATCGTTCGGCATTCTTTATAAATTCTGTTTCCCATGGCTTGGTGTGTCCTGTAAATGTTGAGGTGCTCTAGAACAACCTCAAGTAGTGTAATATATTCTTTCTGGCAATTTGGGGCCGAAGTTCCCCTGGTTAAAAGAAAGCTTATCTGTAAATTCCTGCATTGCTCAAAGTTGTTTTTTATATTCTACTCTCTCCTAGCAGTCTAGAGTACATAGGTTCATTTTTCTTGTTCTTGATGTAACAGTTGAATGTCTTCCATTAATACTTAGTTCTGTTTTCTAAGACATTGTTTGAAACAGTACTTCATGATTTTAATTCTGTTTTGACAGAATGATAAATACTGTCTTTTATTTTGTTAGAATAGATGAAATAGTTTATTGTATTAGTGATTTACTATAAAATAATGGCTGATTTTTAAATCATTTATTTTTTTATTGGTACATTTTAGATATATATAATGATAACATTCATCATAGGGAATTTGTACCTGTACACAATATATATCTTGCTTCTTCTGAGACTGATTTTTCAGGAAATACACAGGTATGGTAGAACTTACACATTTTTAATGGATTTTCATCAGAGTAGTTTCTAAAGGGAGCCATGCATACATACTCGTGCAGCCCTGGTTTCAGACATTTTTGGAATGCCTCCTTTGGAAGTGTCCTCAGAGCTACCTGCAAGCTCCATTTTGAGATGACCTTTCCATTTTCACCAGCAATAGGTTTATCAATATTTTGCAGAACTAAGTATCTTTTGGATTTTTTACATAAATAAAATTTGTTCAAAGCATAGAGCTTTCCTGCTCTTGAGAATATTCAGAAGAATGTCCTCTCAGTCAGCTAAGTTTTTACTAAAGGGCTGTTCTTAAAACAGTTTTGTTTATCTTTTTCCAAACAGTGTGGCAACATTGTAGGAATTCCAGTCTTCCAATAATATAGAGTAGGATATGTTATGGTCTGTTTGCACCAAAAGCAGTTCTTTTTTCTAGACCGTGACTTCACATCTTTTAATATTAACCAGCACACACAAAGCCCCTAGTGTGTACTAGTAAATGCTCAGGTAATCGGTTGTTAAAACATTTTCAGAATAGTTAGTTGTGTTGTATTCCTGAGTTTCCATATGACCATCTGAGTAATCATTTCATCAGAAATTTATATAATTTACATAACTTCTTTAAAAATGAAATGCAGAGGCAAATGTGGTGGCACACACCTGTAATCCCAGCACTCAGGAGACTGAGGCAGGAGGATCACCACAAGTCCGAGACCAGCCAGGACTACGTTGTGAGTTCAAGACCAGCTTGAGCTATATAGCGAGACTCTGTCTCAAAAAAACAAAAAGAAACGCAGAAGATATAATTTTCCATGGGAATTTACACAAAAAAGAATCAATTTTCAGATAAAGTTGTTTTAGCATTTTTTAGAATAAGTGATGGTTGTTCTCCCTGCTATTGAAGGAATTATCTGAAGCTGAAAACCAGTTTAAAAGGATTCTTGAATTCTATCCCAATGAGGGACTAGATTCCTTGGCCTACTGTGGAATTGGAAAAGTATATTTGAAGAAAAACAGGTTAGTAGAAATGATACTAAACTGCAAATTGGTAACTCACTTGAAGTGATGATAATCCTTTTGCTGGAATTATTTTGTTACCTTATGTTTGGCACTATTCTAATTGTGATTTACTTTGAGACGCTAGCATCTCAGTATCAGTATTATTATTAAAGCAAAGCCAATCAATACACTTCATGGTGTTTCCTAATTTTGAATCTTAGAAGAAAGTCAGTACTAATTTTATATAAATAATTAACATCCTTTGGTATATTTTCTCTATAAATGGTGACTGGGTTCATAAAATCAATGCCTTAAAAATCTGATTGTATAGGGGCTGGGGATTTAGCTCAGCGGCAAAGCGCCTGCCCGGCAAGCGCAAGGTCGTGAGTTCGGTTCCCGGTACCAGAGAAAAACCAAAAAAAAAAAAAAAAAAAAAAAAAAACCTGATTGTATAGTATTTGGGTTAAGTATCTGTTTTTTAAAATCTATATAAAAATTCCTTTAGTAAAAGGTACACATATGTTCAAAGTTGTAATTTAGATATAAAAATCCCTTTGTGAACTTCTGGTTGGAATCCTCGTTCAGAGTGTAAGTCAGGGCATTCTTCCTATGTCTCGTGTCTCTTAGTCTTCTTCCCATATGGGCTGCGTGACCAGTGGGTGCAGGCGTACATCTGATGCTTTATAGAAGCAGCTTTTGTTCCTGCCCGTTGCACTGAATATAGTTGTAGCTGTGTTTGACTTTATAAAGAAATGATTATAACTGATTGTCATTCATAACTTCTAATTCTTATATTTTAATCTTACTTTGTAGAGGAAGTTTTATGAGACTCTTGGGAACTCAATCTTAGAGTATGACTACAACCTCTTTCATAGATTTTTAAAGATTAAAAAAGGTTATTTCATGAAGTTATTGTCTGGCTAGGCTGAACTATTTCAAGATCAGGTCGATGCAGGAAAAGTGAGAATTCAGAAGTCACTTTTATTGCAGTAGCAAAAGAAATTTTGAAGTGTAGTGTAAATTGCTTAGGATATACCTATTTAATGTAGTGGTTACATGTAGGTATACTCAAGGCCTAGGAAAGTAATATAATATGTAAAATTATAGACATTGTGATAAACTGGAGTCTTTGCCATGTTAAGGGCATTTCATCCTAATTTCTAAATAATATGGTGAGTGCGAAATATCTAATGTGCTGCTTTTGGCATTGTAATGTGAAATTTCTGGCTCAAAGTGCTGCTCTTCCTAACTTTGTTAGGGTTGCTAGTGGTTTTAGCTTTTCTTCACATGACTCTCTACCTATAGGCAAAAACATGTTTTTAAATTGGTAAATTGGGGGCTGGGGATTTAGCTCAGCGGCAAAAGCGCCTGCCTGGCAAGCGCAAGGTCGTGAGTTCAGTTCCCGGTACCGGAGAAAAACCAAAAAAAAAAAAATAAATAAATAAATTGGTAAATTATTTCAAGGTTGGAAAAAGTATGAAATCTTTCTTCTTGTCTGAAAAGAAGAATAAAGACTTGATTAGTACTATAATCCAGGACTTGAATGTTCTTTTATGAGTAGAACAGGCACAGCTTTATAATAAGTAGTGTGTATCTTACCATGGTAAGCCAAAGTCCAGGAGAGAGTTGTATTTAGTCATATTGCTCTCATAGCAAGCAGCAATAATGCCTTGATGTTCTTAAAGAAAATAGACGTCGTAATGAATATTCTCATTTAGTAATTTATCAACTGTGCTTTTCCTATAAGCTCAGGTCTTACAGCTTTCATTGTGGTGAACGAAAATACCATGTCACATCTTTAATACCGTTTTTCTCCCTAATAGATTTCAAGAAGCTCTCACTCACTTCGAGAAAGCAAGTACCCTGATTTATCGTCTCCCTGGGGTGTTAAGTTGGCCCACAACTAATGCGATTATTGAAGAGTCTCAGCCAAAAAAAATAAAGGTAACTGTTTATTTTTTCAAATATTTCTTACTAGCTGTAGAAGCCTGTCTGTACTGACTGACTCTGTTACTGGAAAACACAGGTAACAGTGCTTTGCCCAGTCCTTCCTGACAGGCGTTTCTCCTTCAAAGATTAAAGATAATCACTGACGTGTACCGTGTGTTTCCTGTGTGCCAGTCACATACCTTCCATGTATTACTACACTTTTCTTACAGCAACCCTCTAAGTTGGGTACTGTAATCATTCCCATCATACAGATGAGGAAGGTTAAGTGGAAAGATGACCTCAAGACTAAACAGCAAGAGCATGGTAGAGCTGGAATTAGAGTCCAGACATTCTGACTGTATTAGTTACTTTTGACTCAATACTTGCTTTTAAGATCAGAGAGGTCTGCTTTCATAACACAGTGGTAAAATGATAAATAGCTTAATTAAAAGTAGGCAAGAATTTAAAGAGACATTTCTGCAGAGGAAATATAAAATAGCACGGTGTTATTCAGCATCAGAGAAATACAAATAAAAACCATGGTGAAATACCACTCCTTGCCCACTAGGGTGTGGCTAGATAGGAAGTGTTGAGAAGGATGTGGGAAAAGGAGAACACTCATAAACTGCTGGTTATCATGGAAGTAGTGAAGCTCCTTTGGAAAAATAGTGGTCCAGCATTTTCCCTCAGTTAAACAGATACCATATGACCCAGAAGTCCCGCTGCTAAATACGTACAAAGAAAAGAAAACATGTTCTCACAAAAAACTTGCACATAAGTGTTCATAGCAGTGTAGTTCACAATAGCCAAAAAGAGAGAACAGCCCACATGAGCATCAAATGATAAATGTAAAACAAAAGAACTGAGACATGCCACATGTGGATGAACCTTGAAAGTATTATGCTGAATTTAAAAGTCCAAAACAAAGGCCATATGTTGTATGATTCAGTATACAGGAAATCTCTAATAGGCGAATCTATATAGAGAGACAGGAAGTAGTTTCTCTACCTGGGGTGATGGCGCATGCCTGTAATCCCAGCATTGAAAAGGCTGAGGCAGGAGGATCCCAGCAAGGCCGGCCTGGGCTACATAGTGAGACCCAGTCTCAAAAAAACGAAAACAAAGAAGAGGACCATAGCAAAACCCTCAGGGATGTCCTAAGAATTATTCAACCTTATTTGCCTAATACAAATAAAGGAGATTTTTAAGAGCTATAAATTGTAAAATTAGGTTTAATGATTCTAACAAGGACAAGATTTTGATGCTCTGAAACTCTGTATAAGCAAAATTTTGTCCAGTTTTCCCTCAGGACACCTCTGTATCAGCCTCTTCTCTACAGGAAAAGCTTTAGACGTCATATACATTGGTAACTGGCTAAAAAAATTTGCTCAGTTTTTAAAAATATTTTGATGGCAAGAAGCTATTAGAATCACAAGTATTTTCACTGACAAATTGGTATCATTTTGATTGTTCTGTTTTAGATGATTTTAGAGAAATTTGTTGAAGAATGCAAGTTCCCTCCAGTGCCAGATGCCATTTGTTCTTACCAGAAGTGCCTTGGACTTTCCAAAATCCAAATATATGTTACCGATCCGGACTTTAAGGTAAATAATGAATACACAGTGGGGCACAAACTTGCAGACCAGTGCCTTAAAAAAGTGTTAAGCTGGCGTGGTGACCTGCGAAGCCAGGTTAACTGCTTCTTTTTCATCTTCTAGCCGCTGTTTTGCAGAACTACTTCCTTCTTAGGAACATAGGAAACAAAATCACATTGTTACCTCCGATTTTTTTTGCAGTTCTAATGTCTTGTAAAATTTGAACCAAGAATCTAAAGGTCACTGATGGTGTGTTAGCCCATAAAGAAAACTTGAAACCAAGTCTACTACTAAATTAATTATGCTGTTGGTCTATTCAGGAAGTTAGTAGCTCTTTGCTGTCCCCCATCTCTGGTTAGTATATCAGGCGACATAATATATATTACATATTTGCTGTACTATACAGGATCATGAGGCTATCAGCTATGGAAGTGAAGATGTCAGTTAAGTTCTTTATCTCTAGAAGTAGACGTTTTTGGGTGCAGAAATACCGTACGCCTCTACAAGGAGATAGAATGTTTAGTTATATCTGGTGCTGTCTTTGTGTTATTGTGTGTGCGGTGAGCAAATGAGCATATATGCATAGACATCTTTGAAATTTAATTAAAAATTTTTGAAACTCTAGGGTTTTATACGAATCACCTGTTGCCAGTACTGTAAAATAGAATTTCACATGAACTGCTGGAAGAAGTTGAAAGCAACAACCTTTAATGATAGAATCGACAAGGTAAGGCATAGTAAGATTGTGTGGATTTATTTGTACACTTACTGTATGCCAATTTTTTTCCCTTTAAGAAGCCTTTGCTTAGGAAAAGTCAAGTGAATATAAATTACTTCTTGAACATTCTAAGCATAATTAGAAAATTTTAAATTACAATTTCAATAATAAAGTGGAAAATTAGTTTTTTAATTGTACGGAACTATAAAGACTAGCAGTGCAATTCATAATAGCCAAAAAGAGAGAACAGCCCACGTGAGCATCAAGTGATAAATGTAAAACAAAAGAACTGAGACATGCCACATGTGGATGAACCTTGAAAATATTATGCTGAATTTAAAAGTCCAAAACAAAGGCCGTATGTTATATGATTCAGTATATAGGAAATCTCTAATAGGCTAATCTGTATAGAGAGACAGGAAGTAGTTTCTCTACCTGGGGTGATGGCACATGCCTGTAATTGTAGAGGCTTTTAATAAACTGTTCAACTTCTGTATTTTGAATGTTATGATCAAAATGTGATTTTTAAAATACAGGTTTTAAATTAGGTACTAACCGGGGCTGGGGATTTAGCTCAGCGGCAAAAGCGCCTGCCTGGCAAGCGCAAGGTCGTGAGTTCGGTTCCCTGTACCGGAGAAAAACCGAAAAACCACAAAAAAAAAAAAAAAAAAATTAGGTACTAACCATTTTAGTCCTTCAGATCCTAAAAGTGTTAGAATTAAGGTCTCAAAATTTTTATTTTCTACAAAAATTTGATTAGGTAATCTGTATAAACAAATCAACTTCAATTTGTTACTGTCCTTTCTTATGGGTGGGATGGTGGGGTATTTATCAAAATAATGATTACTAAGCCAGTAGCTACAATAAGATTTTGAAAGAAGGGACAATTTTACAGTCATACTTGCACTTATAAAATTTAATTCTGAAAAAAGTATTTAAACTATGGACGTTTTAAAAAGGCAACTATTTTCTACACTGCATGGGCCTGTGTAGACCTAATGGTATTGAGGAAAAAAGAAAATGGTTGTGTTAGGTACCTCTTAGCAGTAACAGTAAGTTTGGTAGAAACAAATCTGAGTTTCCCTAGCGTAGACTCACTGCGTGGCCATAGCCATGCCCCCATGGCTCTGAACACCTGGTGTGAATTAGCCTTCGCTAAGACAGGCGGTAACAGTCAACCCAGTATCTTGTAGCTTAACGTGGAAGGTTGGTTTCGTGCTCATATCACTTGTCCTGAAGATTTGCATTTGTTGACCAAGATTGAGTTGTGGCAGCTCAGTACTTAGCTGGCCTTGTTCTTTGTTTCTGAATCCATGTTGAAGAGAGGCCTTTTTCTAGAACACATTCCTCTGTCAAAGAGAAAGAAGTAATGGCCCTTCCATGTAGTGTTTCTCAATGCTTTTACTGAGATGTGGTCTGTGTCAGTGATGGCGAACCGTTTAGAATCTTCAGTGGTAACAAGTAGCCCAGTGCAGCATGTGTGCCATAGGTTTACCACCACTGATCTGTGTCATAGCAGCTTACCTTGCATTGACCGAAGCAAGTCGCATGGTCAGGCCCACACTCCAAGATGTAATCTTCCTGCAGGGAGGCTCTGCCATCATACAGCAGTGCTCAGGGACTTCAGTGCTTCCCCGAAGGGCTTTTACACCATGTTTTGACTGTTCTTGGGTGGTTAAAGTGGTGCACATGTATAGGTTTATCCCACATAGATGAAACATTCTTCTTTTTTAAAATCAAATAGGATTTCCTGCAAGGAGTTTGTCTTACCCCTGACTGTGAAGGTATCATTTCTAAGATCATCATCTTTAGCCGTGGTGGTCGTGTTAAATGTGAAGTAAGTATCTAGTAAAGGGAGGCTTAATTAAACGGATAACCAAAATGTTTATGCCTTCTAAGCATGACAAGTTTGTGGAAGGTGTGCCATTTGGATCTTGTCTTTTTTCAGGAGAAAAGTAAATTACATCATTTAGGGAAATATTAGGGTGTGCATTGCCACATTCTTTTATTCCCAAATAGAAAAAGGAAGCTTTTTTTTTCTTTTAACATTTTAGTTTTACTGTTTTTACTCATTTTGATCACTTTGTTATCTTAATCTTCTGCAAGCTTCTGGGAACTGGTGGGAGGAGAGGGGCACCTGAAGAGGGAACAGAACCCGGGTGAGGCGGAAGGGTCCTGGTAATGATGCTTCTAGCTTATTGGGTCTTCTGCTTACTCTTATAATTTTTAGAAACGTCTTCCTAAAGTGTGTCTACTCGCTTGTTGCTCTTCGCAGTAAATTATTTTGCTAAAGCTTTCTGGGCTTTTGTCTGGGTCAGAACATCATCACTGTTCTCTATCAAATTGAGCATTGCTCGTGTGCTTCTGAAATATTTGTTACTTGTGGTTTTGTGCTTTATGTCATGGGAGTATGAGACAAATTTTGGCTGTCTTTGTTTTATTTAAAGTTTGAACACAAGGTCATTAAAGAAAAGGTTCCTCCAAGACCTATTCTGAAACAGAAATGTTCTAGGTAAGATTTTTAACAATCAATCAGTAGTTTTATGATGTCTCTTAGGTTATAATTCTGTTAATGCAGATTTCTAAATTATGCTGTTTTTAAAATTGGCTGTGCTTTTATACACCCAAATAAGTATTTTTTAAAATTATTTTTATGAATATTTAAACGTAAGAGTACTGACCTAGTATGGTTAAATACTAAAAATTCGAATCAGTCATTATTTAGTGATTTAATTTATAAATACAATGTGGCATTTCATGTTATGAAATCACGTTTGATTAACAGATTTGGCATTTATATAAAATTTATATATTTAGCTTTCAGTTGTTTAAACTTTAATCCCAAAGTGTTTTTCCCTTTTATCGCTCTTCAGCAAACATTTTGAACCAACCAATGGCTCCTTCTTACCTTGAAATCCTCAGTGTACTGTCTAAATTATTCACCTTTCTGTATCTTTTTGTTCGAATCAAATAATTCCAATCCTTTTTTCTTTTCTTTTTGGTCCTGCTTCTTGTTTTTCATTCTAAAAAGTGATTTTTTTCATTATTTGTGACCAAGAAAAAGCAAAAGAAAAGATGAACAGAATTATTTGTTGGAAAGAATTCATTGTAACTGGACTAACCAGATTTCTATGTTGTGGGTCATTATTGGGAAATGAAAGTAATACTTTCTTGTGGGATCTTTCCTTGACAGTTTGCATGTACTATCTTATTGAGTAATTTGTTTTACTCCTATTTAACTTATGCAGTAGTTCATATACATGCAGATAACATCCATACATTGCATTCTTAATTAGAAGTCCCTTAATTGTACCAATTATTGTATTTATTAAACCAGTATTTCCTTATTTTGACTGAACTGATCAACAGATTTTTACATTGAACAGAAGATGTAGGCCAGGTTCTAACTAAAAGGTAGTATGTCTAACTCCTTGGTTGGAGAGTGGTTTTTATAACTGGCAAAGGAAAATGTTCATGTGAGCTTATAATAAAGATGAATTGTCACTAATTGTAAATGTTTATCAGCCTAGAGAAGCTAAAACTGAAAGAAGACAAAAAATTGAAGAGAAAGATCCAAAAACAAGAAGCAAAAAAATTAGCCCAAGAAAAAAGGGAAGAGGACCTAAGAGAGAAGAATGCACCCAAAAATGAACAGAAAGGTATGCAAAAGTCCATGACATAATAAGATATAACATACAGTTGCTTTAAGGTACAAATATAAATATACATATCAGCATATCATATGGCCTCAGTGATCATTATTGATTGAACTGAAATACAGATTTGAGTTTGCTTGGAGTGAGTTTTTTTGTCTTTTTTTTTTAATCTTTTTGAGATAGGGTCTCACTATGCAGTTCAGGGTGGCCTTGAGTTCTCTTTGTAGCCCAGGCTGGTCTTGGACTTGCAACGATCCTCCTGCGTTAGCCTCCTGAGTGCTGGGATTACAGGCATGCACCAATATGCCTGGTCTTGAGTTTGATTTTTAATACTATCACTGAAATACAGATTTCAGTTAGCATCTTAGTACTGTCTTCGGTTTCTCCACGACATCACGTGGCTTGGTCTGAATAGCTCGTTTTCAGAATGCAGTGCCCCGGGATTAACACACTGCCTTGTACAGACTCGAGGCTGTTGCATCCCCACTCAGAAGTGCAGTGGGTATGATACCTGACCACATGGGTAGATTTGACGGTGAATTGCCATTCCGCTCTATGGGTTTCAGTGTCAGAAAAGTGTTGAACTCTAAATTGGCTACTGCTTACCTGAAATAATACCAAGTCCAAACAAAGAGACAGCTCAGAAAAGGTCTCAGAGAGCTTACCAAGTCTGTCCTTTTCCCCAGATCAACTTGGGACACTCCCATGTATAATTTTACTGTTCCTATGTACAGTGTACATGTTGGCTGTTGTGTTTATTTTCAGTTGTAGGTTGAAGTTTTCCCCATTTTCTACTGTTGTGGCTGCATTTACAAAATGAAACATTTTCCACTTGCTCTGCTTTTCATAGTGTTCCAGTAATGTTTCACAAATCAGTAAAAATGATCTTTTCTACTAAATTTTTGATCTACTAAATTAATGGATTTCAATTTTGCATGCTTAAAGGCTAACCATATTTATTGAATATAATTTAGTTGGTGAGGGTGGCTTAGGATTGTTGAGGCAAGAAGCCTTATTTTAAAGGAGATATATTTTAAAAGCTATTACATGAGTAATGTGGAATGAAGGAGTTAAGGTACTCACTTTATGTTGGGTTTAGTATGAACTTTCAAGCTTTTTCAGAGGTATTGTTAAATATTTACATTTAGAATTGAAAGTACCTTGCATTGTCTATATAAAACAGCAAAGAAAGAAGGAGTCCTTTTTATATTATGTAATGTTACATTCTTTCTGTTTATGCCATTGCAAGTGAGTGCTGTTTATCCATTTGACCTTGGTCGTTTGTCCTTAGAAACTGTAAAGAGTGTTCAGAGTTGTCCATACTTCGATGACAGAATTCTGCAGTGCCTGAAGCAGTACTCTGACAAAATTCAGTCTGGTGTACCGGACATTCCCGAGCTTCTCAGAGAATTGGTTTCCTGGAAAGTTTGGACCACAGAAGACTATGGACTGTGCTTCGCTAACCAAAATTTTCCTGCCGAAGCAGTGGACTATGTCATCAATTACTTGATTGAAGCAAATAACAGAGTAAAAACAAGGATATTTCTGCACATTTTGTGTGAGCTTCAAGAAATTGAGCCCAGTGCAGCCAGCTGGCTCCAGAAACTTAACGGCTTTGGTATGTCCCCTGCGTTTTAGAGCAGTGTGGGTTAGTAGGAGGGATAAATGTTGGCCTCTGGATCCTTTGTCAGTTTCCTGTTCATTGTTGCTCTGGTAATTGATCCCAGGGCATTCACGATGAGCTGCAGCACCCGCCCCTTAATTTTTTTTTTTTTTTGAGACAGGGTCTCGCTCTGCAATTCAGGCTGGACTTGAACTCACTTTGAAGCCCAGGCTGGCCTTGAACTTGCAGCAGTCCTCCTGCCTCAGCCTCCCGAGTGCTCGGATTACAGGAGTGCATCAGCACACCTGGCTCTTCCCCTTAAGTTTTGGGAGTCTCACTAAATTGCTGAGTTTCCCAGGCTGAACTCCAGTTTAGAATCTTTCTGCCTCAGCCTGCCATAGATATGGGCATACAGATGTGTGCCACCTTGCCCAGCTTCATTTATAGCTATTAGACTGCAAATTTGTGTGATAAAAAATAGTATTCTGTCATAGTTGTTAGGTTCTTTTATAGACAGGTTAAAAAGTATTATTTCAAAAGATGTAAACGAAAGAACAGTCACAGAAATCCAGAGTCTTACTATGCTGAATGCTTTGTAAATGTGTAAGCTGTGTGATTGTGCACAGATCAGCCGTTGTGGTAAAAATAATCTAAAATTTGGATTCTAGGAAGAAGATTTTAGAAAGGCTAATTAATAGGATTAATTGCTAATTAATAGGATCACCTCAGGCACATCTGTAGCTTACGATCAGGAGAACTACATCCCTAGTGGAACTGGGCTAGTGTGACTCACTGGGCTGTGCAGCTGTTACTCTGCCCTGACTCCCAGTTTGGCAGGAGAAGGGAGGGAGAGGAAGATGTGCCTGGGCCTCTGCAGACTCTGCCCAAGGCCTTGCAGGGAACTGCCGCAGTACCTGCAGAGACAGTGGTTGTCCCCCACTAGGCAGGGTTGGTTATTGTGGGTGCCTGCCAGAGCACTGTTCATTGTGATGACCGGAATAACAGCTGGCCCCATGCACAATACATAGTTGATTCAGATGCTAGCTTTTTGGTGAAAAACTAACAAGGACCACAGAAACAATATCAGGCCGGGCGTGGTGGCGTACCACTGCAATCCGGGGACTCTGGAGGTGGAGGCAGGAGGATCACTGTGAGTTCAAGGCTGGCCTGGGCTACATAGTGAGTTCAAGGCAGGCGTGATCTACATAGAGAGACCCTGTCTCAAAAAAAATCAAGACTGGTAGCTTTCAGCAACAGTCCTGGGAATAGAACCTGCCCAGCCTCTGCAGCCATCCCCACCTGCTGAGTTCTGTAGCCAGGCAGCTGCTTGGAATCCTAGGGTTTCAAAGATACTGTTTATGTATGCAAGTAGAGACAAAGTAAGGTGGCAACTAACTTGGCATAGTTAGCTAAGTACTCCCTTTTGAGCCCAGGTCTCCCTGTGTTTCTAGGCCCAGAAAATTAAGTAATAACTGTTGCTAGTGTCTACCATATATTATAAAGCTTTTGGTACTTTAATGTGTACTTTGTTACTTTTTAATTTGTCCGTGGACAATTTCTGCTTCATTTTCTGACTTAAGAACCTTGGCCCATGCCGGAGGTGACCATCCTGTATTGGAGTCATGATGGGGAAATGAATGAGTTTCTTCTTGCGTTTTTGTCAATAGGAAGGAAGGCTTTACCGTCTTCGAAGCGGGAATGTGTGAGGTTGCAGCCACTCTGTTTTCTGAGATAGAGAATGGGGGATAAAAGCCAGAATAGTGTTCACCTTGAGTTTTGTAGGAGAGGGTATGGAACCATGGTAGTTTGGGGAAAAGGAGATGTAGTGTGTAGAGAGGGACGTTTGCCCATTCTTTTAAGTGCATTTAGGGAGATTTTCGCACATTATTGATGTTTTGTTGCTATGAAATACATGTAGCAAAACATAAAGCCTTGCTGGTTATCATTTGGAATTAAAGTCACTATGAATTAGTGACAAAATTGGTTTTTTTTTTTTTTTTTTTTTTTTTGTCTTTTTGAGACAGGGTCTTACTATGCAGTTGAGTGCTGGGATTACAGGCATGTACCACCATGCTCGGCTAGTATTATATTTTTAAAGGAATTTAACATCATATTCTTACCTCCTAAGTATTATAAAATAAGTATAAGGATAGAAGTATTTGGCCCATCTTACTCAACTAATTAAAAAACTTACAATTTGTATATAGTGTTAACTGGTGTTTCTAAATGCATAATGGCCTGAACAAATCTGTTCTCCAGTATTTGTATGTTTTCACTGAAAATATAAGCAAACAGGAATGGAACCACTTGTGGAGAAGTGAAACTCCCATGTGGTTTCGTTTCTTTTTTTTTTTTTTTTGGTACCAGGAATCGAACTCACGACCTCACACAGCCAATCCCATGTGATTTCATAGTAAATAAATTTTCCCTTCATGTGATTTTGTTTTTGTTTTTTTTAATAGGCTTAGATGCCACAGGAACTTTCTTTACTCGATATGGATCATTGCTTAAGGACCTTGATTTTACCATCATGACTTTCCTCTGGAATGAGAAATACGGTAATAAACTCGACTCCATAGAAGGAAAGTCGCTTGAATATTTCCACGAACCCACATCGGTGAAGGAAGCACGTTGTTTAATATGGCTGCTGGAAGATCACAGAGAGAAGTTCCCAGCATTGCAGAGTGCTCTGGATGAATTCTTTGATATAATGGGTATGTGGACCAAGTTTAGACTCGTGCTATATCTAATCCTAGGGCAAAGAAAAAAAAAATCTGTGAAAAACCTAGCTTATTTAAATGCTTAATAAAGTTATGGGAATGATTACAGTACAACCAGTTTGGTTGACAATGACAATGATGGACAGTAGTGACTATTTGATAATGAAAGTGATGAAGGTGCTGGAGGGTTCCCAGGAAGGACTCAGCTCTTTGTTTCTCCCTATGAGAGGACAGCTATGAACAGGTGGAGTCTGAGGCAGGCGCTAAGTGTAGAAGTGGGATTAGGCAGCAGGGGGTCACAGCTTGCTGAGGGAGGCTGGCAGGCACTTGGGGAGCCTGTTGGGTAATGGCATGGAGTCCAGCTTGGTGCAGCATGTCACTGATAGCTAATTCTGCAGCTTCTCTTAACCTTAGTTTGCCTATCTTGAAAATGTAATGATTTTGAGCCGGTGATCTGTGTGATCCCATTTTACTTTAAAATCTTAATGTTTGTAGGTTCTAATTGTAATTTCTTACCATTCATGACATGTGTTCATTCTACAGTAATCTCTCCCGCCTCCCTTAACATCAGAAGTCTATTTCATGTATTAGTGGGAGTTAAGTGTCATGCTATTGTTTTAGAGGATACGTGAATGGGCCTGGCCTTGTCGAGTATTATAGAGTCCACATGCACTTTCAGGAACTGAAAAACTTGATTTCATTGTGATTCTTAGGAAGATGAACACACAGATAGATGACTGTTAGCTTTTTGGGGTTCTGCTTTCTGACTGGAGGTGGCATGCTCCTTGATAGCCTGAATTTACTCCCCTCAATTTATTGGTGGTGGGGACATGATGCTGTCTTAGAACTGAACTTACAAGACCCAGTGCATGCTTGGATCGCATGACAGCTGAAAATGACAGTTTCCTCTCAGAGTGCACTTTTCCCAGTAATTCTGTTCGTACCTAAAATAGCACCTGTGCTGCTACTGTTTCCCTATTTTTTGTCATGAGGTCATAAACCACCAACAGAATCACTGGCTACTTCAGTAGGTGTTCAGCTGTAACTCTAGCTCCCACCTTGCCCCAGATATTTCCAATCTTAGCACTTTTCATTTAAGGAATATATTTCTGAAAACTTCAAAACCCACTGCCCAGCTGCTTGGAAGTTGGTCTGTGATCCATGGATTGTGTGTACTGAGTCATCCAGTAACTACACCGGTGCTGTCACTGGGAGTCCCAGCTTCTGTCCTGAACTCCGGGTGTGAAATTCCTTAGAGAATCTTTATAGACAGCCAGAGACCTTACCTGTCTATCCCACTTGGCTAGGTCAGGCCCTTAGTTACCTTTCAATGACTGGACTATTGCAGTGGCCTCCAAACTGGCCTCCATGCCTCAGATTTTTTTCCTGTGTTGCCAATAGTGACTCTTCTATAACCTCTGTCCAGTCCTGTAACAACAGTTCTGTTTCAGAAATACTTGCATCGTTTTGTCTACAGGTTCCATCCACATCATGTGTCTGGGCTTGTCATCACCCTCCCTGTCTGCACACACCCCACTTCTGACCCCACAACCAGTCCTGCTTCATCCTGCTGTTGCTCATGCAGTTCCACCACAGTCCTTCCTGACCTTCCTTTGACCTCTGCCCTGAGGACTTCATGACCCTGTTGTCCTCGTTGTCATTTTATTTCATTGTGCCTTCTGTAACACTGGGTTTCCATTGTTTCTTTTTGCCAATAGAACACAGGCTCCTGGACCTGTGTTCAGAGGAGTTCTGTCACAGAGGAGTTTCCCAGTCATCTCTTACGCATCTGTGTATCTGCACATCCTGGCATAGATGGCACCCAGAAAGCATTCAGATTGTGCTGAATTGTGTGCTCCTGTATGTTGGTTTCCCACTTAGTCATTTTGCCTCTGCCTTAAACTTGTGTCCAAGCCAGATAAGGAGTAGAATGTCGTCTGTGCTCATAGTCGCAGGGGTAGTTGCAAGGCTTTAGTATGTTGCACGGAAGTGTACAGTGTTCATTTAGCTCACAGAATCCTCTGTTTCTTCCTGCAGATAGCCGCTGTACTGTACTAAGGAAACAAGACCATGAAGTGCCGGTAAGCTACTTGACTGCTTGAAACCTTGTGTCCTACTTTGCATTGGCGGCAGGAGCCGGGCCAGTGTTGATGTACATCACCTGGGGCACCGGAGCCCAGTGGGGAGCCGTCTAGATGATGTGCACTATTTTCATTAGAAAGTCACTGCCAATCTTCCTCTTGGAATCAGAGCACTAAGCTAGACAGTTTCCATAAAGTTTCACAGCTAATAAATGTTATTAGAAAGCACAGAGGAGTTTCCCAGTCATCTCTTAGAACAAAAATAAAAAGTTATCTTTAATGTTTAAAGTTGTAATGCTTTGCTGTAGAGCCTGTGTTTTAAGTAGCTCCATATGGAGTTTCGGCTAAGAACAGTTCCAGAGATGACTTTTATTCTTTCTGGAAGGTCAGAAACTTTGCAGTTGTTGGGCATGATGAAATTGTGAGAGCAGCACGACGGGCGTTTTCACAGAGACAGACGCTGCTGTACTGGTGGCGGGCATCAGTCATTCAGCCGGGAACCTCTTCATCTGCTCTCGCAGGTGTTGCCCTGCTTGTGTGGAGACCCAGCTGCACACGTGTAGGGAGCAGAATGTTGGCCTGGCCAGGGGCAGCAGGTCTAGTTGGCTTAGCTCAAGGAATGTCACTGAAATGCTGCTGTGGTACACAACCAGATTTCCTCACAAATCTGATTAAATACTTGAAATAAGATTGAAATATTGGGACAATCTTAGTTGTATCAGGTACTATTAACCTTATTCTCTTTTCTCAGTGTAATCGTGGCACATAGGCTGATACACTATATAATACTATTTTTGTTAAACATTTTATGTACTTTTAATTTACAACTAGCCTATGGAATTCAATATGGTTTATGTTGATCTTCATAATGTTGTTGAGGGCTTACTGATTTTTTCTTCTGATTTTTAGGTGACTTCTACCAAGACGAGGAACAAGGGCAAGAAAAAGAGGCTAAAAGATCCCAAGGTGTGGAATCCTTTCTGTGATGATTCTTGTTTAAACCTTACAAAAGAATTAATTAAAGATACATGAGTAGGTGAAAAATAAACAATTCTCAGAATATTTTGAAACATTTAGTAGAGAAAGACTTTCTAGATGTTAAAAATGTTTTAATAGTCACACCTTTAAAGGATATTTAAGTTTATATTACATATAATTAACTCTTTCAACAGACTTCATTTTTACAGTCATATATATTCTCCAGATATTTCTGAGTGAAAACACTGCGAGTAATTTGTAGGGCTTTATATAGGTGGCTGTAGAACAGGAAGGCTTTTGGGTCTAGGAGGCTAGGTTCATCTCACAGTTTAACTGACCCTTGAGCGAGCTGACTTCCCTCATCCCCATCTGAATAACAAGAATAACAGTGATACCGGGGCTGGGGATTTAGCTCAGTGGCAAAGTGGCTGCCTGGCAAGCGCAAGGTCATGAGTTCGATTCCCGGTACCGGAGAAAAACCAAAAAAAAAAAAAAAAAAAGAATAACAGTGATACCTGCTATTAACAGCTAGTGAAGTTATTATACTCACTAGGTAGTCAGTGCTTAATAATTATTATTACTAAACTGAATTTTATAAGGAGATCAGAAAGCAGAATATCATCTAAAATAGTCACAACAAAAGTGATGCATTCCCATCACCATAGCAACCTCAGGATTGACAGGACCCTTTCCTTCTTTTCACCTAAGGCTCCACCCAAGCCCATGAGAGAAGCAGGATGTCATTTTAAGGCTCATGGTTAGTTCTCTGGGTCTCTAGTGTCCGTCCTGGGCCAAAGGAGATGGGGTGGGAGAGTGGGCGGGTGTTGGGAAGGAGCAGCTTGGGCAATCCCACCCAGCTTTACTTTGTATGTTCATCTAAAATGGGGGTTCAAACGGAGTGACCTGGAGCTGTGGATATAGCTCAGCAGTGGAGCACTGACCTAGCGAGCACAAGGTCCTGAGTTTGATTCCTAGTGCCACAAATTAAAAATAAAAAACTGAGTGACATGTCAAGTTTTGGAGCATTCGAAACTACCTGAATGTTAATTGGAGCTTATTTCTGGATGTTAAAACTTACATCGTTCTGTGTTCCTGTTTACAGCAAAATTTGCATAGGTTTTACATATTGGAAGTTGACATGGTGTCTGTTATCAATTTGAATGTTAGTAGTTTTCTTTCATGACATTTTAAGGTAATGAAGCATTGTTATTTTTCTGTCTTTTAAACCAGCTGATGTTAATTGGGTCTGTAACAACTTCACGAACATCAAGTAATGAGAGCTTCACTTCAAGTCAAAACTCTCGGTTAGTATAATTATAAAATTTTTGCTTCATTTTAACTCAGAAGTTTTTACTTAATAAATTGTTAATTTAACATACTATAAAATTGTATTTCTTTTTTAACATACTATAAAATTTTATTTCCTTAACTTCCCTTTCTAAATAAATAATTTGCATTCATTATGACAATTTGATACGATCCATCTTGATTGAATTAATAGCCTGTCTTACAGTTGTTAAGAACTCCAAATGAGTTCACATTGCAAGACTGATGATATTTATTCAGTAAATACATATTGAGAACCTACTATGTGTGAGGTACTGTGGGAAAATTGTACAAAACATCCAGAAAATAATCTTTAAAGTATTTGGTAAACAAACTGTACTATTGGTAATTACCTAACATTCTTTTCTGTAATAGGAGAAAGGAAGATATTTTGGAGGGTGTATATGTTACGGCTTAACCTTTTTTTTGTTTGTTTTTTTTCCCGGTACTGGGAATCAAACACACAACCTTGCACTTGCCAGGCAGGCGCTGTGCAGCTGAGCTAAATCCCCAGACCCTGCACACACATTTCAGACCTTGGTCGTTTTCACTCTCCTTTCTCATCACCTTCCCTCCTTCCCCTTCCTCAGATTCCTGTTCCATTTCCAAAAGGCTGCCTCTCAGTTTCCTATCATCTTTCTATTATTTTGCTCTTCAAATTATTTATTTTCTAGGTTTCTCATATAAAAAAACCATAGGACATTTAACTTTCTGTGTCTGGCTTATTTCACTTAGTATTATACTTTGAAGATCCATTTTCCTACAGATGACTCAAATTTATCCTTCTTTATGGCTGAGTAGTATTCCATTTTCTTTGTTCATCTGTAGGCTTCCATAATTTAACCATTGTAAATTGTGCTGCAATAAACATGGGTATGCGTGTGTCACTGTAATACCATGACTCTAACTCTTCTGGAAAGATACCCAGATATCCAGTGACTCAAAAACAAACAAAAGCCAGCAAGGGTGTGGGGAGAAGGGAGCCCTTCATCACTGTTGGTAGGAAAGTAAACTCGTACTACACCTTTTTTAGGGGGTTATCTCTTATACTTTTTTTAAAAAACCTTTTTATTAATTACCTTTTATCTGTCTTAATCTCACTTGAACTTCCATTAGTAGCATTTTATTAAAAAAAAGTTTCATCTCTTAACTCTTTACTGAGTTGCAGTTATGCAACACTGATTTTTTTAAAAGTCTGACGTTTGAGGAAAACATGCTTTTGGTAGCAAGACGAAATGGTTAAGTGCTCCCTCAGATGGTGAGATGTTACTTTTTCCCCACTGTAACCTGAAGGAAACTTTACTGCATTAAGTTTTAGTACTTTTTTATAACTTGAAGTCAAATAATATGTTTCCATCCTTTTGTTTATTTCACATAAGTATTTTTCTGGCCTACCCAGAATTTTATTATTGAAAGAATTGTTTCTTAAATCAGCAGACGCAATGGAGACCCCACTGGCCCATTTGCAGTGCCCGAGCACCTTCGGCAGGAAATAGAAGAGTTCGAAGCTTTCTACGAGCAGCATCGCTTTGAGTATGTAGTTTGCATTAATTAGCTGTGGGGTATTAGCCCAAGACAGAACGCGCTGGTGTGCATGAGTAAGTTGGGTGACATTCCTGCAAGGTTTATGCGGCAGTTGCCGGCCCTTCAAGTTATATCTCTTATTGAAGGACTCGTTTATTTTCCTACCACCCCTGGAGATAAATATTTTTAAAAACCTCTTTCTGTTACCCAAAGTTAATTGAAGATTTTTAATTACTAAATTTATAGACTAAATGGTCATTGTTTCATCAGTTTGAGCTGCTTGTAAAAGATACTTTCTGCTTCTAAAACTCCTGTTACATCCTGACAGAACTGATGTACAGAGCTTTCAAACATGATCTCTTTGTCATGAACTCCAGGGTATTCATTTTCTAAAGAATAATATGATTATTTGGTCATATTTTCCTTATGCTGATGTATTCACAAGGCCCTGAGGTTACACTTAAGGTGGGGAGGGGGAATAAAGAAAAAAAATCAAGGGTCCTGATCTCCAACACAATATTAATTTAGAACCTAACCAGTTGCAGTGATGTACCTTATAATCTCTTCAGTACTTGGGAGGCTGAGGCAGGAGGATCACAAGTGTAAGTCCTACACGAGCAACTTAGTGAGAGCCTGTCTCAAAAGAAAAAATAAGAGTAAGAATGTGGCTACGAAAGCGCTCCTGGGTTTCACACACCTTCCTCCACAAAAAGGAAAGGAAGGAAAAAAACCTATTGTGAAAATCCTTTCACTCATTCGTAGTAAGATTGTTTCTTCTGTTTTTTCTAAATTCCATCATTCTTATGTAGTCTAATTATTTACCATAGGTCCCTGTTTTTTATGTTTTTCTTAGCGTGCAATGCTGTGGAAATCCTTTTTCCAGAGAACTCCTGGATGATAGTGTGGAATAGCTACTTAGTTATACTGGTACCTCCTAAAAGATGCTCGAATTTGCTTTTAGCATCCAAAGCTGAAGCTACAGTATGTAGTTTTCAGCAGCTTTCCTCTTGAAGAATTCATTGCCATTTTAAGTGGGAAGAAATTAAATTTATGAGAGAAAAGACTGATTTGTCTTTATTTTGAGGTAGAACGTGTGTCGTACAATAGTGGAAAAACAAGGACGTCTCAGAACATAACTCTTTTGTTTTGTGATACTAGAGATTGAGCACAAGGTCCTGACACTGAGCTATGTCTTCAACCCTTTTTAAAATGTTTTGGACGGGCGTGGTGCTACACACCTGTAATCCTAGCACTCACGAGGCTGAAGCGGAAGAATTGTCAGAGTTCAAGGTGAATTTAGGGCCACCCTGAACTACACAGTGACAGCCTATCTCAAAGATTTTTTTCTTGAAGCAGGAGGATGTCTGCCTTTTGAGACAGCGTTTTTCCTACCAGGCTCAGAACTTCTCTTCTTCTGCCTCAGGCTCCCAGAGTGCTGGGAAAACAGGTGTGCTCCACCATGCCCAGCAAAACAATTCTTTGAATTTCAAAAGTAAACATATAAGGGTCAGGGATTTAGCTCAGTGGCACTGCTTCTACCTGGAAAGCATGAGTTCGTGAGCTCAATTCCCAGTACTAAAAAGAAAAAGTAAACATCATTTTTGTCCCATGCATTTATCTGCTGTGGCAGCTGCACAGAAGTTTTCTTTCGTGTCAAGAAAGTATTATTTTCAACTTTCTTTCTAAATGATTTGCTCTCCGTGGTGGCATTAGCTTACTAAAAAACGCCCCATTGGAAGACTTTGTCTTGAAAACGTCTTCGTGGTTCCTGGTTAATGTGACTTTCATGCTGGTTGTGCTTTCACTGTCACAGAGCAGGCACAGAATTCATTGAAGAAGCAGCTCTCTGAGCCTGCTACAGAGTGGGAAAGAAAGATGCACCCAGAAATGGAGTGGACAAACCCAGTGCAGAGCTGGAGTCAGATAAAGGGTGCAGACGCTTCCTGTGGAGCCAGATCTTGGACTACATTGGTTTATGGGACTGATTTCAGTCCTTCTAAACTACTTTCCTAGTCAGTAAAAGTTGAATAAGTGGATTCACTGTATCCAAATTGAAATAGGATTTTTAAAGTTTAATTTCTTCTTATTTAACATTTTTTTTCCATGGGTATTCTTGGGGAAGTGGGGTCCTGAATAAATTTTCTTGCTTGTCTTTTTTTTTTTCTGTTTTTCTTTCAGCAGTGCTGGGGATTAAACATAGGACCTTTCCACAGAGGTTCATCCCTGGGTCTTTTTATGGTTATTTTTAAAATTTTGAGACAGGGTTTCACTGAGTTGCCCAGGCTGGGCTCAATCTTCTTTCCTCAGCCTCCCGGAGTACTGGGGTTACAGATGCATACCACCTGGCTTACAAAACAACTTTATGATTCTCTTTTTGATTTTTTTTAAAAAAATTTAAAGATTACTTTCCAAGAGTAAACATTCTTTGTAGTAAACATTTTTTGTTTAATGTAAGGTCAGTACAAAATGAGTAGTATTTTGCTTTGGGAAAATAAACATTTTTAACTAACATGTACATGTATTTCTTTATAGTAACTCAAGTAAATGTAACTTTTTTCTTAGGCGTTTGTCTAACTATGTGGAGGATCCTGGTCCTGTGGAAATAGGGAACAGAATATTAACTGAAGAATATGAGTTCTTCCCAGAAGAAACTCGACAGATACTAGAACAAACGGGAAACTTAAAGTCTTTTCTCCTGGGATGTCCACACTTCGTTGTGATTGACAACTGCATCGCACTGAGAAAGATTACAGTACGGCTCAAGAAAAGAAAAAAGAAGAGGAACATGAAAGCAAGAGCAGAAGAGATCTCAAAAATAGAAGAGTATTTACGAGCCAACCTACGGCAGAATCCAGCTGCTGACGGCTCTCAGCCCGATGGACAATCCAGCCAAGTGCCTGACGCAGCTCCAGCACCAGCTCCACAGGACGCGGAGACCAAGGACACGGAGCCCAAGGACGCGGAGCCCAAGGACGCGGAGCCCA